GGAACAACAACAACAACAACAACAACAACAACAGCGGGTAAAGAGCGAAGCGAGGATGAGAGATGTTGCGGCTGCGCTTGAAGAGGCTTTCGCGATTATGGATGCACTGCAGGCAGAGAAAGATGCTGTGCTTTTGGAGAAGAAGACGCGTGAGGCGTCATACGAGGCGGAGCTGCGTATCCGCGTTGCGGAGACGGAGGGGTTGACTGCCACATTGCAAGAGCTACGGGAACAGGTAAGCCTATTGAGGAAGCATCGTTCTTTGCATGGTTCGTCGCAGCGGTACGAGTTGGCGGATGAAAGTCCAGGGAACTCCGAGGACCACGACGGCGAAAGAGGGGAAGAGACGCCGAAATCTTCTTAACAGAGAGGATGAAGCTTAACGTTTGTTTGTTTGTGTGCATATTGAAATACACTGGGTTCTGTGGGGTGATTGTGTGCATGGGGCGAGATAAGAGAGGGGCAGAGGAATGAAGGAAAAGCGGAGATGGAGGGGATGCCAAGCGTTGAAGGTGCTGCAAGAAACCAAACCAAACCAAAACAATAAATAATAATAAAAGAGTCTGTTCTTTGCTGCTTCTTGTTGTTGTAATAATAATAATAATAATAATTATTTTTTTGGGCCATTGGCACGTTCTCAGTTCCGTTGAGCCGTCGTCCCCTCGGTACTTGATGCAACTTTCATTTCATTGATGTGATTCCACAAATTTTTTTTTTTGTTAATTTTAGGTGCGTATGTATTTTTTCTTTTTTCTGACTGATTTTGCTGTGGCTACGTCTTTATTCCTTCCTTTTTGTAACGTTTTACTTTTTTCTCCTTGGGCTTTATTCCTTTCACTGTGTGTCTTGCCATCCTTTGACCTGACCCTTTGTGCCTGATTCCACTTTTTTTTTTTTTTGCCAGTCTTCCTTTCTTCCTTGGACTGCTGTTGTGGTGTTGTGGTGGTGGGGCCGAGGAGGAGGGTGGTGAGCAAAAAGAAGGAGGAGGAGTTGACACGCATTCCTCGCGGGGGAGGTATTGCCGCTTGAGAAGTGCATTGAGCGCTTGTGAATTTCCCGCGCCAGCAAGGAGTGGGAACCAGAACAGATGACGCTCATGCATGCGGAGAAGCCGTTCGCTGCCAGTCTCCAGCGTCTCCTTCCGGGACTGGCAGAGAGCCCAACGGAGAGCGTTCTTACGGACACGTTGTTGCGGTGCTGCCACGAATGGGGTGTCACTGCGGAGACAGAGCTGCTTCTTTTATTGACAAGTGGCTACCCTTTTGTGCAGCGACAAATGATGTTAACGGTGCGACAGGAACAGAGACGGCAGCCATTTGGTCACCCTGCGGAAGTCCAGCGTCTTCTTCAAAAGGTGCTGCTGGCTCTTAGTACACAACATG